GAAAAAGGAGTGGCATCATACGAGATACAAGGCTGTGAATCTAAACAGGCTAAGACCATGATTAAGAGGGTAGAAAAAACAGACTACAAAAATGAGTTTTCTAAGAACTGAAAAGACCAGTGACTTCGAAGAAATTTAAACAAACGCAATAGAATGTTTGAGTATAAAAGTATAAAAGCAAGCACAGGAAGTTACAGCTCTTGAAGGCCCACTCCCTCTCCTTCTTTCTTTTGCCGACACTGAGTGAAATGATAGGAGGTTCATGTGACAAAATGATCTCGATGAGCCAAGTTATCATTATTCTCCAGAGATTGCATTTTCGAGGTCATTAATTTAATTATACCTACATAGTTTTGATGCGAATACCAAGAAAATAATTGAGAGAGAGAACCTGGATACACATGGTTCAGTTTAGATCATACGCAGTTTCAGCTAACTTTACAGATGAGTACTTGAAAAATAGGAAAATACGAACCTGAAGAAGGAAAAATTCTCCTTGTCTCTTTTTTGTTCACTTCTTGACCTGCAATTGGGCACGCAGCAGCCACCCATGTTTATCTGCAAAATAATCAAGTATGTTAGCAACCCTTAACAAATTATGATCAACACTTGCCTAATGTAAACTTCGATAAAGCCTTTTTTTCTAAAAACCTAATGTAAACTTCGATAAAGCCTTTTTTTCTAAAATTACCACTCTTTGTGTTAGTCAGTCTTCAAAGCATTAAATTTTATTTGGACGCATTTTTTTTTTTTTTTTTTTTTTTTTTCTTTTCATCAAACAAACAAACTATGTACAAGGAAACACTTTTCGATCTTTTATAAGACTTTTAAAAGCTTAATTAAATCATTAACTGTGCACTTAACAGTAAGTAACGATTATAATCTTAAGAAATAAAAAACTATAATTCTGATAATTGAAGAGAAATACTACCATAGGTACTTACGGAGTTGGAGGCAGTGCATAGAAAACTAAGAAGAGTGCCTTTAAATACTGATTACTGTCTACTATTTATTTGCATCAAAGTTAAGAAGAAGAGCTGAAAAAAACCACCCAGGGGCCACCCTTACCCCCACCCAATAATGTCCATGGCCTACCAAAAAGCGACCCTTCTATCCATAAAATAGTAGGTATCTCTAATTATTGCTAGTCATTATCTTCACTAGCCAGCTAATAATGACTTCACAAAAAAAAGAAAGAACGTACATTGGGAAAAAAATGTATTTAATGAGATGCTTTGTCAGAGAAAAAAGATTTGCTCCTGCATTAAAATGGAAAGACTTAAAAATTTCTCACGCGTCAATGAATGGCGATGAATTACACAAAAAGTTTTTCATCTATCAAGACATAAACAAAATTCTAGACAGAATCAATTCAGGATTTTATTCCTTTTCATATTTTTTTCTCTCATTTTAAAACATTTATTCTTCCTTCAAAGAGACAGAAAAGAAGAAACAAATTGATGACCCTGTTTTACAGGAAAAAATATTGTTCTGACAACTTACTATGCCAACTGCTTCTAATATTGAGAATGAATAACTAGGAGCTTGTTGCCACAAACAAGCTGGTTTAATTCTAATTGCTGTGAAAGCTCGAGGATTGCCACATGATAATCAAAAGGGTCTTCCTCATACAACGGATCGATGTGCAGTTGTTAAACCTGAATGAAAAAAAACAACAACACCAAATATTAATGACATTGCATCCACACGGTCATTATTATTCCGATATTAATTTTTCATTCATTAGTGTCTAATGAGAGGCTTTTGTCGGAGAAAAAAGATTTGCTCCTGCTTTAAAATGGAAAGACTTAAAAATTTCTCACGCGTCAATGAATGGCGATGAATTACACAAAAAGTTTTTCATCTATCAAGACATAAACGAAATTCTACACAGAATCAATTCAGGATTTTATTCCTTTTCATATTTTTTTCTCTCATTTTAAAACATTTATTCTTCCTTCAAAGAGACAGAAAAGAAGAAACAAATTGATGACCCTGTTTTACAGGAAAAAATATTGTTCTGACAACTTACTATGCCAACTGCTTCTAATATTGAGAATGAATAACTAGGAGCTTGTTGCCACAAACAAGCTGGTTTAATTCTAATTGCTGTGAAAGCTCGAGGATTGCCACATGATAATCAAAAGGGTCTTCCTCATACAACGGATCGATGTGCAGTTGTTAAACCTGAATGAAAAAAAACAACAACACCAAATATTAATGACATTGCATCCACACGGTCATTATTATTCCGATATTAATTTTTCATTCATTAGTGTCTAATGAGAGGCTTTTGTCGGAGAAAAAAGATTTGCTCCTGCTTTAAAATGGAAAGACTTTAAAATTTCTCACGCGTCAATGAATGGCGATTAATTACGCAGAAAGTTTTTAATTTATCAAGACATAAACGAAATTCTAGACAGAATCAATTCAGGAATTTATTCCTTTTCATATTTTTTTCTCTCATTTTAAAACATTTATTCTTTCTTCAAAGAGACATTAAAGAAGAAACAAATTGATGACCCTGTTTTACAGGAAAAAATATTGTTCGGACAACTTACTGTGTGACACCAAATGTATGTTCACATTCTAAAAGACAGCAGTTTCAAGTCAAATAGACGTCATTCTGCCAAACAGATCTATGTAAATAGAGACATGAGCCCTGAGACCCATAAGGATATGCGATAACAGTGCTAACGTCATGATGCACACAGTTCTGTTTGATAGGACTTCGTCCGATTGTGAAATGATGACAAATCCAACATTGGCCACCCTTGCCCCCAGCCAATGTTGTCCATGGCCTGCCAACATGCGACCCTTCTACCCTTAAAATCGTAGGTATCTCCAATTAGTGGC